TTTTTTAATATAATTATTAAGTTTTCACTAGCACACTGTTTTTCACTGTCACTTTGTCTTTTACAACAACGATTTGATTTGCTCCGCATTAGGCTTCGTCTATTTATTAACATGCACACATGCACTTCTCTCACATCGTTATAATCCATCTCACTCTCTCTCCAAAACGATAAAGTAGAAAAATACATCTCTCCATCCATATCGTTGCAAGATAGAGAAACTGCTGCAAAAGAGAATGCGGTGCAAGAGAAAAAACCGAGATAAAAACCTTACTTTAATAAATCTCAACGAGACCGAAATCCTGATATCGCTTCGCAAGCGACTTCCCGGGTAAAGCATCCGCGAGTCTCTCCAGATACAAAACCACAAACTTCTTCGACGTTGCGAGCAATTGCAACAATGACACGTTCAACTTCCATATCAATTCCCAACTCAGTATCGAATAAAATGTTCGCTGCTGAGGGAAAAGCAAATATGCAAAAAACAGTAAAAGAGAGAAAGAAAAAAATATCTCTCTCTCTCTGTCCACATTGTTACTGCAAAAAGAAATCGGGGATAAGGAGACTTCCAAAATCACTAATCATGGAAAGGATGTGGCAACAAACCGTTGCAAGGTGGAAAACATATCTCTCTCTGTCCGCATCGTTTGCAAGAGAGAGAACAACCGCTGCATCCCTTCTCTCTCTCTGTCTCTCTCTCTCTCTCTCTCTCTCTCTAACTCTCTACAATATTATACCGCCTCTCTCCAAAAACACTTCCTCAACGCGCGCGCGAGAAACATCGTTTTTGCAAGAGAGAGAACAACCGCTGCAATGCATCCCTCTCTCGCTCTCTACAATATTATACCGAGATAAAAAAAAACGTTACTTTAATAAATCTCAACGAAACCAAAATCCCCGATATCGCTTCGCAAGCGCGGGTAAAGCATCCGCGAGTCTCTCCGGATACAAAACCACAAACTTCTATAAATGCGTCGCGCCTAACGCGCGCAAGAAAAATCCTGCATCGTTTTTGCAAGAGCGAGAACAACCGCTGCATCCCCCCCTCTCTCTCTCTCGCTCTCTACAATATTATACCGAGATAAAAAAACGTTACTTTAATAAATCTAATAAACGAGACCAAAATCCCCGATATCGCTTCGCAAGATAAGCAACTTCCGGGTAAAGCATCCGAGAGCCTCTCCGGATGCAAAACCGCAAAACT